CCCCTCCTCCCCCCCCTTCCCCCCCCCATACAGCCTCACCTTGTCTCAGCTTTGGCCTGCCTCGGCCTCATCCTCAGCCTCGGCCTCAGTCTCAGCCTGTCTCGGCCTGAGCCTGCCTCGGCCTCAGCCTCAGCCTGCCTCAGCCTCAGCCTGCCTCAGCCTCAGCCTGTCTCAGCCTCAGCCTGCCTCAGCATCAGCCTCAGCCTCAGCCTCAGCCTGCCTCGGCTTGCCTCGGCCTCAGCCTCAGCCTGCCTCGGCCTCAGCCTCAGCCTCAGCCTGCCTCAGCCTCAGCCTCAGCCTGCCTCAGCCTCAGCCTGCATCAGCCCCAGCCTCAGCCTGGCTCAGCCACAGCTTGCCTCAGCCTCAGCCACAGCCTCAGCCTGCCTCAGCCTGCCTCAGCCTCAGCTTCAGCCTCAGCCTCAGCCTGCCTCGGCTTGCCTCAGCCTCAGCCTGCCTCGGCCTCAGCTTCAGCCTCGGCTTGCTTCAGCCTCAGCGTGAGCCTCTCAGCCTCAGCCTGCAGCAGCCTCAGCCTCAGTCTCAGCCTCAGTCTCAGCCTGCCTCAGCCTCAGCCTGCCTCAGCCTCAGCCTGCCTCAGCCTCAGCCTCAGCCTGCCTCGGCCTCAGCCTGCGTCAGCCTCAGCCTCAGCCTGCCTCAGCCTCAGCCTGCCTCAGCCTCAGCCTCAGCCTGCCTCAGCCTCAGCCTGCATCAGCCTCAGCAGCCTCAGCCTGCCTCAGCCGCAGCCTCAGCCTCAGCCTCAGCCACAGCCTCAGCCTCAGCCTGCCTCAGCTTCAGCCTCAGCCTCAGCCTGCCTCGGCTTGCCTCAGCCTCAGCCTCAGCCTCAGCCTGCCTCGGCCTCAGCTTCAGCCTCGGCTTGCCTCAGCCTCAGCGTGAGCCTCTCAGCCTCAGCCTGCCTCAGCCTCAGCCTCAGCCTCAGCCTCAGCCTCAGCCTCAGCCTGCCTCAGCCTCAGCCTCAGCCTGCCTCGGCCTCAGCCTGCGTCAGCTTCAGCCTCAGCCTGCCTCAGCCTCAACCTGCCTCAGCCTCAGCCTCAGCCTGCCTCGGCGTGCCTCAGCCTCAGCCTGAGCCTCAGCCTGCCTCGGCCTCAACCTGCCTCAGCTTCAGCCTGCCTCAGCTCGGGCATTCAAAATTTTGCACAGGACTGGTGTTCTGGGAAAACGAAAATCACGAAGTGGCCCACAGTTGGCTCCTGGCAATCAAAATATGGTACAGGAATGGTGTTCTGGGAGGACGAAGAACACGAAGTGGCCTACAGCTGGCTCCGGGCATTCAAAATGTGGCCTGGGAATTGTGTTCTGGGAGCGCGAAGAACACGAAGTGGCCTACATCTGGCTCCGGGCACTCAAACTGTGGCCTGGGAATGGTGTTCTGGGAGCACGAAGAACACGAAGTGGCCTACAGCTGGCTCCGGGCATTCAAACTGTGGCCTGGGAATGGTTTTCTTGGAACACGAAGATTACGAAGTGGCCTACAGTTGGCTCCGGGCATTCAAAATGTGGCCTGGGAATGGTTTTCTTGGAATCGATTCCTGAGGATTCCTAAGAATTCGCAAGGATTCCTAAAGATTCCTGGGGCTGCCGGATCCTGCCGGATCCCCTGTCCGGGTCCCGCCCAGACCCCCCTGGGGCGTCAAGATGCTCTCTTTTGAGACCACTAGAAACCTATTAGCAAAAGCTGTTAGGTAACAAGATTGCACATCTTGATTCTCTTATGGTTCCGATTGTTTTCGGAGTTTCAAAATGGTGCTCCCGCAGCAACGTGGGCCTCATTTTCGGATCGGCGCTTTGCTCCCGTAGTCCAGACTGGCGCTCTCGCCCCAGCGCGGGTAACTTTTCTGGATCCGCGTCTTGCTTCATTGTGGTTCCCCCCCTCATTTTCCTTCCCCCGCCTTCCCCTTGTGTTCTTGTTGTGCCCGCTCCTTCAACTCCAGTTCGTGCTGCTGCTGTTCGTCTCGCCCCAACGTGGGCGAGTCCGAACCTTTCTTCAGCGTTGTCGCCCCCCTCACATCCCTTCCTCCGCCTCCCCCTGGTTACCCTTTTTCTCCCGATCCTTCCGCTTTAGTTCCTGCTGCTGCTGTTCGTTCTCAATGCCCTTTCCTTCCTCCCTGTTGCACCCCGAAGCCAGTCGGAAGGGCGGCCAGGCGTTTTGCTGGAGACATCCTCACTATTTATGAACCGGAGGTTTGAAAACTGGCGACAGCTTCGCAGTTGCAGGGCGGGCCGCTGCCCAAATGTGGCTCTCGGGTTAGCGCCGCGCCAGTTCGCTCAACAAAAGATACAAACTTCACGGATTGAGGGCGGGCTGTTTTCAGAATGTGGCTATCGCCCTAGCGCCGCGCACATTCTTTGTAAACATGTGCAACAGCTTCATGGATTGAGGGCGTCCCGTTTTCATAATGTGGCTCTCGCCTCAGCACCACGCGCATTCGTTTGAAAACATTGCAAGTGCTTCACAAAATGAGGGCGGGCCGTTTTCAAACGGTGCGTCTCGCCTTAGCGCCGCGCGCATTCGCTTCAGAAAACTGCAAGAGCTTCGCGGATTCAGGGCGGGCCGTTTTCAAGATGTGGCTCTCGCCCGAGCGCCGCGCACACTCGTGTTAAACATTTGCAAGAGCTTCGCGGGTTGAGGGCGGGTCGTGTTCAACATGTGGCTCTCGCTAAGCGCCTCACACACTCGCTTCAAAAAAATGCAGAAACGTTTCACGGATTGAGGGCGGGCCGTTTTCAAACTGTGGTTCTCGCCTGAACGGCGCGCACATTCGCCAAATTGCAAAAGCTTCACGGCTTGAGGGCGGGTCGTTCTCAAACGGTTGTTCTCGCCATACTGCCGCGCACATTCGTTCCAAGAAATTGCAATCGTGCAAGTGGTTCTCATGCTTAACGAACCAGAGGTTATGTCCTGGAGCGGTTGACGATTGTATGGGCGCTGCAATTGCGTTCATTCGAAGTGTTGAAATGCCAGGAATGGCGTTCTGGCGTGATTCAGGATCGCCAAGACGCAACAGTCTGGTTGACCCGTTGCGTTAACTTGCCAAAGCCTGTGTTTGGCACGGCTCAAGATTGTCGCACGGTTGTCCCTCAACGGGGCACTTCACCGAATGGAAATCAACCCTTGTAGGGACCTATTGAGGTGCAGCTGGTAAGGAACGTCTATTCCAACATTGTCGACGAATCCGGGGTTACACTAGCCCTTTCCTCCCGCTAGTTCTCCTGCTCACCCGCCACCTCCTCCTTCTATGCACGCATGTCCCATGTTTCCGATTGCGCATAGCACGGAGTGGTCTTTCTGTGGGAGTCCAAGGTCGGCTGTGACACGCGTCCGCGGATAGAGAAACATCAGCGCGATGGGAAGGGATGGGAGGGAGGGATCGGATGTCAGATGAGGCGTAAGCGCACCTGGCTTGCCTCCCGCCTCTCGTCTCCTCCCTCCTCCCCTTCCTTCCTCCCCCCTCTTCCCCCCCCCGTCCCCTCTCCCTCCGTCCTCCCTCGTCCAGCCTTCTGTCTACCGCCTCTGCCGTCCCTCCTTCCACCCTTTTTTCCTTTCCTTTCCCCCACTCAGCACCTGTTCGTCCTCTCTCCCCCCCTCCTTCACCCTCCACCCACCCCCTCCTCCGAACACCCCCACTTCTCTTCTTCCTCTCTTGCTCGCTCGCTTCCTCCCTCCTCCCAACACCCACTGCTCGGTCCTTCCTTCTTCTCCCTCTCCGCTACTCAGCCCACGCACAGCAAGAGCAGAACTATAATGTTGCTGATCGGTGAACCCTAGCGGCTGATGTTGGCACGTAGGTCCACATGTGAAAAAAGCAACGCAACTTTCTACAAGATTGCCAACATGCACATAGCAACACTAGCCGTGGAACTGACCTTGATGCGTACGATCCATCTCGAAGGTCCCGAAACGCTGAGCCCGAAACTTGGTTAACACTTATGTGCGACGGGAACTATCAAACGAAGAACTTACCTAACCAACCCTCGAGCCGACCCCAACCAACCTTCCGGCCAAACATGAGTTGGAACACTATTTCAGTATGTCTCTTCGTTCTTGAACCCGAGCTGCCGAACATCGCAAGGTTGCTGAACACGTCTCCAAGTGCAACTCGTTCTTCAAGCATGAAAGATGGCGGGCAGATCATGCGAGCGATGGGATGAACGGAGGGTCAGCAACTAGCACGCTCGGGGGAGACCGACACCAGGCCAGCTCCAGTGGATCGGCAGGTCAGACCTCACCACATGTGTACGGGGAGGGCAGTGGATCAAGAACTATGCAATCAGGAATCCAGACCCCGAGGCCAGTGGAACTCTATTCGTGAATTGGTCATGGATATCACCGCCGCCTTCCCCAGATACGAAGCCCTCCAGGGCTGAGGCCTCCCAGGCACATGCCTGAGCGAGCGCCTCCGCCGTAGAGCCTCGACGGCAGGGCCGGGGTGCCCCAGGCTGGGTTTCTGACATCCGTGGCCCGCTTGCATTGTCTCGTTCCTCCTCATTTGTGTCGTAGGCCTCTCCAGCAGGCCACGAGGGCAGCGGATCCAGCGGCGCGCGCGCAGCCCATCCCGCCGCCGCCGTGCCTGGATTGCGGTCGCCAGGCGCAGTGGGAACATGGTCGGGAGCACCGCGGCTTCCTAGGATGTGGGCCTGTTCTGGAATCCCTTTCGGGTCCTTTTTGGTGCCTCTCGGCGACTTCCTGAGAGTCACTCGGGATCATCTTGGGGGTTGTCGGGGTATCCTCATGGGGGCCTCCCAGGCCTCGATCAATAGAATCGTGACGTTCGGAAGGGGTCCCCTGCCTGTACCACTCCCGTCGGCCTCGAAGAGGTGTCTGTGCCGCCGCGAGGGGGTAGTGACATGTATCCTGCCATTGCAGATGTATCCTCGCACGTGTCTGACTTCGACTGCTGGCAGATGCTGCGTCGACGAAGAACTGCCTCTCCCGCCCCCCGCCCCCCCCCCCTCTCCCCGCCGCTCCCTGGGCCCCCCTCGCGAGCCTGGACGACACCGTCGTCTCGGCGGTCGTTGTGGTCGGCTGTGGGCTCCTGGCGCCGTGAGGCCGGGCGGAGCGGGGGGGGGGGGCAGCCCGGTGCCTGCGCCGGGCCCGTGTGCCGGGGATGGACAGACCCCCCTTTAGTAAAACGTGGTTTAGTGAAAACGACCTGAGACCCAAACCTGGCGGGCGCAAGCCTGGAAAACAACGGCCACGGCGCCCTCTCGAGAACCGAAAACCGACAATTCACGAATCGACGTGTCACTGTTGGGGGTTCTGCCCACTCCTCCTCCTCCTCCTCCTCCTCCTCCTCCGCCTCCTCCTCCGCCTCCTCCTCCGCCTCCTCCTCCTCCTCCTCTCCGCCTCCTCCTCCGCCTCCTCCTCCTCCTCCCCCTCCTCCTCCTCCTCCGCCTCCTCCTCCTCCTCCGCGCGAGACCTCCGGCGCGCGGCCTGCCGAGCGGCCGCGCGCGGTGCGGCAGCAGCGGCCTGCGTGCTCGGGCCTCGGCCCCCGCGCGCCCTCCGAGGGCCGCGCGCCAGGGGCCGCTCCGCTCGGCCCAGGCCGCCTCCTCTGGAGCAGGAGGAGGAGGAGGAGGAAGGAGGAGGAGGAGGAGGAGGAGGAGGAGGAGGGAGGAGGAGGAGGGAGGAGGAGGAGGAGGAGGAGGGAGGAGGAGGAGAGGAGGAGGAGGAGGAGGAGGAGGAGGAGGAGGAGGAGGAGGAGGAGGAGGAGGAGGAGGAGGAGGAGGAGGAGGAGGAGGAGGAGGAGGAGGAGGGAGGAGGGAGGAGGAGGAGGAGGAGGAGGAGGAGGAGGAGGAGGAGGAGGGGACCGACCGTCCCAGCCTCTCTGTAGGCCTGCCGCGAGATGCTCTCAGAACCCGAAGATGCCGATGTGGTGAAGCAAGACGGCCCTGGGCAGAAAGGTTCGGAGAACCATGCGCGGAAACCGCTGCAGAGGTTCTCGGGACATCCTTTGGGAGGCCTAAATAGGCACGCCAGGACGCTTCGCCACTGCTTGTTCCTCGGCTGCCCCCCCCGCAGGCCCGGGCCTCGTGAACAAGCACTCCGCCGGCACCTCTCGGGGCGGCAGGCGTGCGAGGTGCGCTCCCCCGGGCCCCCCCACCCCGCCCGGGAGCACCCCGAGAGGCTCCGAGAGCCCGCGCCGAGAGGCCTCTCGCACTGCCGAGGACGGGCAGGCGCATGCCGTTGGTGCGCCCTCGGCGTCGCAGGCTTTTTGGGCCCAGGATGGCCCCGAGAGGGCCCCGCGGGGGCCGAAGTTGACTCCACCACCGCCCAAGACGGTGCCAGGATGGCCGATCAAGCTGGCCCGTGAGGTCCCCCAGCGGGCCTCTTGCCTATAAATTGGCCCATGCCACCCTGAACTCTAAAAGGAAGTACGTAGCATGCCATATTTCCACCCGTCGCTTCCGCAGCGTAACGATGTGACCTAGCTTTGGCCAAGTTGTTGGCCACATAGTCCTCGTCGAGCAGGCAGTCGGCGGCGGTGACTCGCCGTAGGCATCTTCGATCTGATAACGCATGTAGTTCGCCACGTCTCGCGACCCAATACTCTCACGGATCGATCCTGCTCGAGAGATGCCGCACAAAGTTGAGGTCGAGAGCTCTGGTAGTGACTGTGACTACGTTATTCCCAGCCCTCCTGTGCTGTTCGGTCCTCATTATTCCTCCTCCTCCTCCTCCTCCTCCTCCTCCTCCTCCTCCTCCTCCTCCTCCCCCCTCCTCCTCCGCCTCCTCCTCTTACTGTCCTCGCCCATTTCGGCACACCCCTCACGCGGAACGTGGCAGCTCCACCTATGGCCGCAGTCATGGCGTTCAGATTCGGTCCCCCGCCCGTTTCGGCACACCCCAAACGCGGGTCGTGGCCCAAAGGGACCCGAACTTCACTCATCCCGCGGCGCGTAGAGCATCAGGAGAGGACCCTGCACTGCGCTGCACGCAGCTCTATAGGGTTGGGCTCTTCGCCTCGATAATCAGCTTCTCGCGACGTGCGTCGGGTCTCGGGGTTCCTCCCTGTCCCTGAGGCCATGGGGCGTCTGGGCTGCGATGGCACGGACAAGATGGCGTCCCGACGAACGCGACGAACAGGTCGCCGCACACCCTCCCCCCTCAGACGTCCGACAACTACTTGCCTTTTCGAACCTCTGGGCCCGGAGCTCCCAACCCCTTCCCCTGGGCCCAGACATCCGACGACGCGAAGCTCCCAATCCACGGCCCCGGCGGCCTGGACCACATCCCTGGGGGCAATTTTCTCAGCCCAGCTTCACGACTGATGGCCCAGGGGCTCGGCAGCGGCACCAGGAAGCCGAAATCAAGGAGGAAGATTGACGGCGCGCAGAGGGGGTGTAGGGGAGGAAGGGAAAGCTTCTTAGACTGAGGCTGCTTCTTAGAAGGCGCGAGCCTTACATCTACAGACAAGGCCCGCGCCTGCTAAGAACCAGGGGTGATTCTAAGAAGCCTTCCCCGTCCCACTGCCCCCCTCTGCGCGTGGCAGAGAAGAGCTCCCAGATTGAGACAAATCAATATTTTGGATGTCTGGGGTGCCAGCTGTTCATCCCTGGGTCACATCTCGACAGACCCAGGGCCCAGATAATATTCCCCAGACTGGACTGTGAGGATTACGAAAAAAAACCTCTCGTGCATTTTTTCCAATCGCCAGGGGTCCCTAGCAGCCCCTAGTACGTCTCGTGAGGGATCCAGAAATCTCCAGAGGTCCCCAGGAGACAAGGGTCCCCAGAAGCCTTCGCGAGGCTCTGGAAGCATCTGAAGGCCCGCAAGATGCCCAACACCTCACGCCCTCGGTCCAGCGACCGACTGGCTATCGAGCCTCAGCTCCGGCGGAAGAATCTTCAGTCCGCTGGGTCCAGAAGTCTCGGCCCCTTCCCCAGGACAACTTTTTCGCCAGATCCATGTCTGATGGCCCCCCAGGCTTGAGCAAGGCCCTGGTTGGAGCGCCAATGGGGCTGGAAACGTGAATTTTTCTCGATCTCTGATCTAAAAAAACGGGTCCTGAGGGCAGCCTGTTCTAGACAATCCCGGGGCAAGGCCCGGGGAAGCCAAACACGGCAAGAAAACGTGTTCCTCCAGACTCAAGCGAGTTCACTTGCATGGCATTTCTCCCCCCTCCTCCCGCCCAGCCGCCTTTTCAGGCAGCGCTGGGCCGAAAAGGCGTGCAAGTGTGTTCCACCTTGCGCGAACTCCAGAAGTCCTATCGGGCCTCGCCACGCCACCCCCCCCTTCCCCCCCTCGCCCTCCATGCAGGTACCCGTCGGTCGGCAGAAGTGGGCAGGAGGGCGTTGGAAGTAGCCTGGGCCTCCGTCCGACCCCCCCTGAAGAGGAGGGACGAGAGACAACCGCTCGACTCTTGAAGTAGGATGGCGGCTGAAGCAAATTGGGATTTGGGAATCCAGGAGTACCGGCCTTCAACACCGGCGTATGAACTTGCCATAATCCAAATCGGGGAGACGTGGGACTCGTGTTCGGTGGACTTGGGTTGGCCGGACGGGGCCGTCAAGAAAAGAACGAGACCCGCTCCGAAATCTGACGCGAGCTCCCGCTGCGAACATCCAACGAAGACTGGGCCGTCAACATCCAGCCCAGGCTCGTCAGAGAGAGTAGTTCGGCGAGGCCGAGTTCTGGCGTACTCGAATCTAGACTAAAACAGGGCTAGGATCGGGATAAATCGCTCCAGAGCGTTCCGGAGCGCTCTCAGAGCGTTCCGGAATGCTCTGGAGCGGTCGCGGCGCCCGATACATCCTCCAAACCCGCCGATTCTCAGAGACTTCGAGTTATCCCGATCCGATTTTGCCCCGATCTTCGCGTCGTTTAATAGACGCTTCCCCAGGTCCGTGTCGTGACGACCCCAGCGTTGGTTTCTGACGCCGCGTGGATCGTTCAACCTTGAACGATCGGCGTCTGGTCGATCGCCCGATCGTTCCATATAGGTTGATTCTGGGCCACTGGCGGCGTTCAACCTTGAACGCCCGCGCTGGGGTCGCCGCCGGTCGACACGACGCGAACCTACCGTACTCGACTCTAGACGCTTCCCCGCCTACAGGGTCACGGCCTCCGCGCGGGCGCGCGCGGGCGCTCTGTCCCCGAAGCGTCCGCGCCGGCCGGCCCCGCGGGCGCCACGGGCGGCGCGCCCTCCGCGCAGCAC